CGGGGTCCAGGAAGATAGCTCTCTTTCTTTCGCCAGGGCTGTGGTGCAGGGGGAGAACCCCCGACACCGCGCGCGTTAGCGCCCCCGACTGTTGCGGGTGCCAAGAGTGGAAAATGCAAAACGAGGCATACAGCGCTCAAGTGGAGAGATGGGGGTTGCCCCCTCTCAAACGTGGCAAAGTGCATTCGCAAGGAGCGATACGTGCACTCCACCGAGGCAAACTCGAAGCGTAAAAAGGAAGCAAGCACGAAGACATAGTAGGCATGAGTTTGCCTCGGTGGGTGGCCTGAAAACCGGGGTCATGAGATACAGCAAGTTAGCGGTATGGAGAAAGGCTTGGGAGGCTCAGCGGCCCGTCGTTGGAAAATGAAAGAAAAAACCTCACGGTTTCCCCCGGGCAGCTTTGTAGAGTACAAAGCCTCGAGAGGAGGCTGGTTGGAGAGAACTTTGGAAGGCTCCAGCGGCCCGTCAAAACTAATTTGTACGTGCAAGTTCGAAATGGGGTTACCCCCTTGGTACCTAGGCTCGAAAGGATAAAAGGTACTTCACGTACCATGAAAGTGCTCATAGACCCCAATTATGGAACCGAGGCCTGGGGTCCCGCATGACACAACAAACTAGACAAAGGATGGTCAAACATGACAAGCGTCCACACTCACACGCACAGGGGTTTTTCCCCAGATCAGGCTGCCTCAGGCATCACGTTCCAGCACAAAAGGCTAGTTCAAAAAGGGCTTACCCCTTGCTCAATCGCTGCAGCTCAGTTGTTCTTGCGCTCGGGCTTTGCCTCCTCCTTCCGGCGGCGATCGGGGATCCACTCCCCCGTTCTCCTTTTGGTGCGCCTGTGTTGGCGGTAAGACTCCTTGTTGGAGTGCTTCTTGGAGCGTTTCCTGTCCTTAGCAGTGGGGGGGGGGGAGGGGGGGGGACGTTGCTGGTAGAAGAAGCCGAAGTCGTTGTGGTCCTGAGCTGTGGTACTTCTTTCCTCGGCCTGGAGGTGACAACGCCATCTCAGACATTGAGAACTCCCCGGGCCGGTTGCTGTGGCTCGGCTGTCCATCTTCAGCGGGATTCCCCCGAAGAGGTGCGTCCCCCTGCCACGTGGGTGAAGTTATCCTTCGTTGTGTCCCTGCCACTGTCACGAACTTGACGAAGTTAAAGGACTCGGTCGCGGTACACAAACCCCTGGGTCGAGCTGAAGGGGTACTCCTGAAGTAGGGTCGCTATGCCGTACACAAAGCTGGTCACAGAGTCCCTAAGGTGCAGGCCCGCAGCGGTTCACGAGGTGCACCGTACTCGACTATGTCTTTGCGCCGGGCGTTCAGCGAGAAGAGCGCAGACTTATTGTCCGTCTTGATCAGCAATGCGTCGGAAGAGTAAGGAAAGCGAAGAGGAAAGATCGGTTGGGAGCGCCTAAAGACGAGTGAAGAGGAGAGGGGCTCACGGAGTGACGCTCCCCGGGGCTTGAACCGCTCACGGCTTGAGCCAAAATGGCTACGGGTTCTTTCTCTCTCTCTCTCTCCCGCTCCTTCCCCCCTTCAGCACAGACACTCTCTTTGTTTGCAGCCCAAGATCTCGTCTCTCTCTGAATTTCCACCACTCTCTCAAACACATGCCGTGGATGCATCATACAGAGAAAAAAAGAATCTCCAGTTCCGTGTCCACCCGATTCTGTACCTGTCTCTCACTCACTCTTTAGATCGTTCCACAAATATTCTAGAGTTTCTAAAGGAAAGGTATGCCTGCATGCATGGGGAAAGATGGAGAAGGCTTGTCTGGGCACGGTGAGTAATACCTCCGCCTCCACTCCTGAGGTCCTGAAATTGAATGTGCTTTCATCCTGCATGTAACGTGGAATTCAGACCGCAACCTGCAGGCTGAAGTCTGCAGTGGGAGGGGGGCCAGAGTTGAGGTTTATCACGCCAGCTTTGCAAACATCTCTCTCTCTAGTCTATCTGTCACTTTGTGTCAAGGGGGGAGCGGTGAAAAGCGCCTCTAACGAGCTCAGGAAGAAAACCTACCTGGGCGCAAGCCTCTGTGCACCTTGCTCGACTTCGAACGCCCCGATTGACAGCCAGGTTGCAAATTCCACGGTAGCCACCACTTGTGAGTGCGACGTGTCGCCGGCGAGAACATCTGCTCCTCGTACTCATCCGCCATCTTTTCGAACCTGGTGCTGGCATCCCTAGATGCTTGCATGCAAAGTCAACCGAAGCGGAGGGCACAGGGAAAGGTCTCCTTCTTTCTGCTGTGGAGCTTGTCCAGCACGGGACTCCTGCTCTTGAAGAAGTCCGGCGTTGGAATGCCGGCTTCGTAGGCGAAGTCGGCAAGGAAGGAAGCAGTGGACAATCGCCTGTCTCGAAGTCTCTCCGAGCGCAGGACCTTCCGAGTGGCCTGCAGCACCCACCCAGCCTTTTGGTGGAGGCATTTTGCCGAGAGTCGTGGTTGTACAATCGCTGAGCAAGCGCGAAAAGGCACCTGGCGGTTTCATACTAACTATGCGGAGAGTGGCGAGCACAAACATGCTAGTACACCTAGCATCAAGCCACTGTCAAGCTACATACATCCCCGAAGTCCGAATCCAAGTGAGCACCCGGGATCAGGCCCTGCTGCCAGCAAGAAGAAACCGGCACAAAGTTGCAACAAGGGGGCGTAGTGTCCGCTTCATAGTCAACATCGCCATCCGTGATGCCAACTGGCGCCGGGGTTGGTGGCCAGAGATCGAGCTGGTGGCACCTGAAACACCCAGGCAATGCCACACGATCCGAACTTGCCGGTTGCACGATTTGCAATCGGGACTCAGATTTTACCAGGATCATGCATCATCCTATCAGTCTTTGTTTCCGCATGTGTCAGATCTGGCACCTGGCCACCATGGAGCTGCGCATGCTTTCGGTCCACAAAATATTGAAGGCTTCGTTGAAATCTTTCATCAGCACCTCACAAGGGCTTCGCTTCCATCACTGGCTGACACAGGTCATTGGACTTTGCGCCTGGTCTGGCGACCCTTCCAGTTTGGTCAGAAACTCCTTCGCTTGCCAGCTTCGAGATACGCACGCGCGCGCTGCGTTTTCATCTGAGAGGAACCAACCAAAGCTTTTGATGAAAAACAGAGCGCCTTGCGAATCCCTCACGAGTCCTTCACAACCGGGGCAGCCTGCGCCTTCGCCGCCTTCAGCTCTGGGTCAGAGCCTGACAGGGACTCGCATAAAACTCCGGGATTTGTTGCAGGCTGAGGTCTAGCCGTCAAGCCTTCCTCCGGATCCTCGAAAGCAGCTCTTCGGAAGCGGCAGCCGCTGTGACGCGCATATTGGTCACTGGCAACCAGGAGCCTCGTACCACAAACAACTCATGCCCTTCTGACCTAAGTCAGCTCTTCCCCAAATATCAATAGGCCAAGGCACTCCCTGACACTAGGGAAAGCCGAAAAGTCCAGGTAGTGCTCCTCCGCTGAGTCGGGTGCCGCATCGAGGCCCAGCATTGCAGTGGGTGGATGTCCAAGTCTGCGGACAGCAGAGGCGAGACGTCAGCTTGGGACAAACACTGGGCCCCAAGCTAGTGTGTCTGTCTGTGTCTGTGCATGTACATGCTTCTCATTCCCCGAGCTGTCGCCTACCGGCTTACTGTGTTTGTTTTGCTGTTATTCGTGCTGAGAGCTTTCCATGACTAGCGGCGGAGGCTTGCCGCGGCAGAATCACCACAATCGTCCAGGTGCCTGAACACTTGAAAGCTTGGCCTCCTGACTTTTGTTTCGATAGGCCAGGCATGTGCACGTCTGCTTGAGCCCCTTTGTGAAATTCTGTACAAGCGCCCGTCACTTCCGTGGGCGCCCCACCGACCGCTTCTGTTTGGCACCGGAAGGACCAGGCCTTTCAGATGCCGTGGATTCTATGAGGATGTCACAGGATGTCAGTCTGAGACAGGATGGACTACGTGACTAAGTCTTCCAAAGGCTGTCGCTTGCGCTGACCCCTGAGAGTCAGGCGGCGGAGCTTGAGGACTCGGCGTGGACCACCCCCTCCTGTCCTGAACAGAGCTGGCACGCTTGCAGAATATGTAACATGTCTTGACCTGTCTTGAACTTGTTCTGACCAAGGCACTGCTTCCCTTTTGAACTCCATGTATTTCCCTTCGGGGATGTCGCCTGAGCTGAGTACGCATTGCCGGACTGCTCGCAGTTCATGTTTCCACAGACGCGAGATCAATCTTACTTACGCTCACACTCTTCATGCTCCGTGTAGCTTTCTGGTCCCAAGCCAGGACCCCCTGAAGCCTTCCGAGACACCGTGGATGTACCCGTGTTTCGGGCATCCCAGTTTGGCCGCCTCTGCCGAATGCAAGCCGCAAAGGCCGCCTTCGACTTCACAGTTCCTCGTGCACCTGAAGTCCAGAACAGCTCAAACCGCCATGCACTTACGTAATCAGCGATGGATCACGTCATCGCACATAGCGCAGCGCCAAGGCACTGTCCGCCTTGGCCACCTGCCCATACACGTGAAGTGCAGCGTGGGCGGTCGGTGTGTACGCTCCTGAACCGAACATGCCGCATGGAACGGCATCCTGTCACTGGCACTGTGCTGGACACAAGCTCGGGGCACTTCAAGGCTTTTGCCAAAACTACGGAAGAGACTTCGACATTCGAATGCCGCGGTCCTTTCAGCTTTGACAGACTCCTTTGCCTCCGCCTTGGCTTTTGGACTTGCCTTCGGCTTTGACCGCGCCTTGATCTCCTCTGAAACATATTTGGGTAGTTCTCTAAATTAAGGTCCCCTTTTAGGTCCCCAATATAATACGGCACCCTTATAAAAACGACCCTAAAAGGGACCTACCCATTTGCATGTCGAATTCCAAGTCGCATGTAAAGAGGTTCTTGGCTCCCAGTCCTGCCGGCTCGTCTCTCTCCTTTCGCGTGCGCCACTGCGGCTCCGCTGGCGCTGCCCCTTGCTTTTGCTTGGGCCTCAAGAGACAGGCCGAGTAGTGAATGATGGGAGGTGGGTCTTGTCAGCGGTTTGGGACTTCAACGTAGCCTTGGCTTGGCCCACTGTTTCCTTCTATCCTGCTTCTTCTCATGCTGTCCCCTTCGTATCAACATCATGAGAACACGCAATATGAGCAGACTACGTATGTTTGACGAGGGACACACTCGGGGGGAGGTGTTCTGTATTCCACCCAACATCAAGCCAGCGCCAAACAGTAAGTGATCCAAACTAGCAAACGATGGTCAGCAGTGACGAAAAACTGCGTAGTGCCTGCACAGCGGAGTGAGCGACCAACTCACGTGGCTGCTCTTTGATGTTGGCGTCATTTGTCGAGGTTCTCCGTTGTACTTTCTCTTGGGATCTGAGGTTTGTGTGGAGATACGCATTGGTCTGCCTCATCCGTGGAATTAAACAAGGTCGTCTTAAGTATGAGGGTCTCGGACGTCAGGGGTAAGAGTCGGGCCTTGCATTTCCCTAAGCACCTTGTGCGAAAGGCACTCGAATCGATTCTGCCACCAGCTCTACGAATCAAAACTAGGACGAATCTAAACTAGCGGAGTGGCTTGTGTCACTTGTCCCAGCAGCTGCCTCGAAGGCCAGTAGCGTTTCCTCTGGGATTGAACCTTTGCTGGGTCAGAACACATACGAAACAATCTGCTTCGCGCTACAATCGCTACAAGTACAGGTAACTGGCAGAGGTTAGGAGAAAAAAAACAAAGCAATTGCTGAATTGCCGCGAAAGGCACCATCAACACGCCCGTAGTTCAATCCAATGTCCTCATCCCTATCCACATGATACTGGCAGAGGCCCCTTTTAGCTGGCGTGAGTGGACACTGGCCACCCTGGCCACCGTTCCACACCTTGCTGCTACCCGAGGCATAAAAGGCATATAAGGCTTGCACATGCTTGCACACCTCTCGTAATCTCACAAACATCGATAACTGCAAAACACCTGCTCAGCTTCCCGTTGTCTACACTGGGCCTAAGAGGCGCACTCTTGCCATACAAAAAGCCGTGGACACCCTTGGTGTAAACCGTTTCGACCGCTCTTCAATCGACATGGCGCACGAGGCTTGAAGCAGCTAGTGCACTTAGCACACAATGTGTGTTCGCATGTGTTCTGTCCCTGTTAACCCTGTCTTGGCTCAACGGCTTGCTTGCTTGCTCCCCTTCCCTGTATGCTTGCGTCTTGCCCCCCGGCACAGATATGTGCCATTGCCATGGACACAGGCGAAGCTGTTACACCCAGCACGGCTTCGCAGCACGAAGCGAAGCGACGAAGAAACAGCAAACTACATGCAAGTTGCGATCTGACATGACTGCTGAACAAATGCATTGCAAGCACAGTGATCTGGGCGCAACAGGTTTTGGAGCGGCACGTGACTGCTAGTGCAGTTGCCACAGGGTCTCCACTTCGCGCAGCAGCTCCTTCGGCATCATGCTTTGAATACACAAGCTCTGCAGGAACTGCAATCCTTTCGGCTGAATTGGAAGCTGTGCAAGTTTAAGCTACACTTTCTCGGGTGGCGAGCAAGTCCTCCAGCGGATTCTCGTGACTCAACAGTCCCTTCTCTGCCAGCTCGGCCGCCACCACCTCTCAACTCAAGCATCTGACGTAACGTCAAATCCCATCATGAAGTTATGCTAACTGCCGCTCGAGAAGTCCTGCGCGACAGGTTGCGTCCCAATCAATTCAAGACGTCTACGTACTCCACTGACTGGCACAACCTTCCCACTTGCGGGCCTCGCATTGGCCATGACGTTGTATCACATGGACAGGATTGATGTCGTTTGGAGTGGTGCCGAGATCGCCAGACACTACAGAGAACACGATCACATCATAAGCAGCACCAGCAGTTTGAATGGAATGACTCCCAACGGCATTAAGTCGGCAATCGCAACAGTTTGCATTTCGTGTGTTCACGCGTGAGTGCGTGTGCTTGCTTGCGCGCATCATATGGCACCCTCCTCGCTCCGCGTCTGTAGTAGATGTTCACGATGATATGCACGAGTTACGGGATATTTCCGAGGATGTGAATCCGAAAGTCCAGCGAGTTTCACACTCAGTTTCACTCTGCAAGGAGAAAAGTGGCCAGAAAGCTTCTGCGGTTTGGGTTACGTACTTAGTCGACGCAGACACTGAGCTGTGGTGAGGGCACATGGGAGCAGCCTAAGCCCCAAACCGGTAAATCTCAACCCAGCCTCCTTGGCTTCAGGGGCAGCAATCAAGAGATGTTTCAATTGTTCAGTGTGCGTCAGGATTTTGTTTAAGCTTTTGCAACTCGCAACTCCGGGATACCAGGTGAGGACTTCGGGCTAAAGTCAGACCAACCGGAACTGCTAGTTCGCCAACAGTCCACAGCAGACTATATCCGCGTCTGTTTGAACGAATTGTTTCTGGGCGGACCTTCTGTTTATGACTTCGAACTGGGGATAAGGTTTGAGACTTTCGGTGTGCAATCATTTTTCGGGAAAACAAACTTGAAGGTAGCTTTTAAGAAATTCCGGGAGTAGCATATGCATACCTACGTACATATACAGACACACACATAAATCGCACAACACATGCACGCATAAAAACTAAACAAATAATTGCACATACACGCATATTGCATACACGTAACGTGTGATTGTTATATATTATATGTAGGGCATATCTGACGTATCTAGATGTAATATATGCTGGCATGGGTGGTGTGTGTGTGTTGTGTATGTGCACGCTGGTTGCTTGCGAATGTGTCGATGCGTGTCTCATTGTATCTCTGCGTTGTATGCCCACGAGCACACCCGTGGAGGGGTGTAGGATGTGTACTTCAGTGCAAGAGCCTTCGAGAACTCAGCGTCTCTATGGCTGTAGGAATTTGCGTTCTGCCTGATACATGGCTGAGTTGATGATCCGACATTCATGAGCGACTGGGCCACTGGGAACCTCACGAGATGTTCGAATATGTTCTGCTTCGCAAAACGGCCGCAATGGGCACAAACACGCACAAAGCCTTTCCCCAGTCTGTCGACCGACCTATCTGCACGAGTCTGGAAACAGCTGCACGAAACATGAAGAAGGCTACCCGGCTATGTGCACAGTGGGCTCACAGGCCTCCTGCTCATCCTGTGGTATCTCCAAGAAGCGCTCGACCAGGTCTCCGTCAACAAATCCCTCGTGGGCCGCTGTCTCACCCTGCGGGGGCTCGAGGTTGGCATCAAAACAAAATAATGAGGCTAAATGTGAAGCCCTGATGCTTCACGATTGCCTGCAGGTCCAATCGAACATCACGCCAGTCGCCATGAGAAAAAGGAGATTGCCAGCGCTTTGCCATGGAGTCCTTCCAGGCAACTCGCAGCAGGCTCGCCGTGGTGATTCGCTGACAGAGAGAACCACCAATGGTCTCTGCGAAACTTATGTGGAAACAGCCATGCTAGCGCAGTCCTGTAGCATCAAGAGGCGTGTAAAACTCTTGTCGCAAGGAAGAGGGATGACGAGTCCAAAAGCACCAGATACGCTGGCCTCAAGTCCAAAGAAGGAGAATGGAAGAAGTCACTCGTTCAGAATGGAATGTCACCAGAACTCTCACCGGCCAAGCCGCCCAAATGGTGCTCGGTGTCTTTTGCTGCGCGCTCAGTTTCAATCCCAGGCTTCCTTTCCGGAAGCGGTTCCTGGTCGCTTTAACTTTGCATGCGGATCACTTCGGCCAAGCAGACTTCAATCCGAAACCGAAGGATGAGACAGTAAGGACAGTAAGGGTAAGCAACAGGTCGAGCGGCACAAACTCTCCAGTGTGCAGCCGACCCATCTGAGCTGCAGAGGCAACACTTCAACACACAAGGTCGAGGTTTGGTTCACCCAAATACGATGAACAAGCATTGCTGCACAGTGACCCGCTCCAAGATCTTCCTCAGTGTGTCAGAGAAGCCTGCCGCTTATGATTCGACAGCCTCGGGCCTACAAGCTTTCAGCGAAGCATCAGCCCTGATGTTTCTTGTCTTGGTTACTCACCCGGTTCTGCCGGGCGGCACCTCCGAAGTCGCCTGATCTGGTTGAGCTTTCGTCACTTCGCCTGGGACCAGCGACATGAGGTTGCCACAATCGTCCGCGCACCTGTCTTCAATTGCACATGGCCTGTACTCTCTACTGTGCTCCCCATGCGGGGCCTTGCCAGCAAACTGCAAGGAAGAACGGTAGTTCACAAGAATCCAAGGCACAAGAAGTGATTCTCTGAAAGCATGTCCACGGCAGTCGACCAAGCAGACAGCTGGTCGTAAGCCAGGACTTCAAAAGAAGGCTCCTCGTCAGCTCTGGGCATTTTTGGAAGTGGAAACCCTCAGCAGACAAGACGAAGCCGGCCTGTGACTCGTTCAAGCGCAGCAGGCTGACTGAACGCATGATATCGCCGACGAGGACGTCATTTCCTAGGGGGCCACTTCTGTTCGCTGCATGAGTCCAATGGCGGGGTGAGCGACATACAAAGATACAAGAGCAAGAAAATGAGACCCAAGAAGACAGAGTCTGTTCAGTCCGCATGGGATCAATCGGTCTCGCAGTCTCGCGACATCAGATTCTGTAGCAGATACAGCAGAGACGACGCCAAACCGAAACATTCAGTCATGTTACCTCTCACTTGCAGGTCCAGAATGATGAGGCCAGCGTGGTGCCGCTGAACCTGCAGGTGGAGGCAAGAACTTTCACATGCCGGTAGACGGCGCGCTCCCGGCACACCAGGAAGTCAGGCGCAAGCCCTCGTCCAGCTAGAACTTGATCGGGTCACTTGCCGGACTTCAAAAAACTCTCAGGCTCTGCTTCGAGCAGCTTCACGCTTCCGCTACAGTACATCGCGGCGTGTGCAGATCGACTCTAGAAGCCGAGCTAGCACTTAGCAGCTTGTGCCTCCGCCAGGTGAAGGCGATCCTCGCCAGTCTCGGGAGATAGCTTCCAAAGCTGGAGGCGGTTGTTGACCTTTGCGACTTTGCGATGGCAGAAGCACTTCCGACAAACATCTGTAGCCTGATCGGGGGCCATCTTTAATCGAGGCACTGCCCCGAGGAGCTTCCCCGCAAGTGGGAGCAAAGCGTAGACTGCGCCTGCCACCTCCAAGGATGCCACCTCCCTGAAGGGAGGCAAGACCTGACGTGGGGTCTGCAGAGGCAAGACCTCAAGTCCGTGATGAGAATCTTCTACCAACTAAGTACACTTAGAGACCTAGTGAAAGAGCCTGAGGAGGTACAGTGTACAGTGTGCTCTTCCGCGCATACCTACTTCAACGAATTCCTCGGCCATTGCAGCATAGATTTCCGATACTCGCAGCTGTTTTTACTAATTACTGACTTTGTGCTAGCAAGGCAGCTGAGACTCGTGTTGTTTGGCACTGCTGATTTGCTATTACGGACACTTCTAAGGGCAAAACTAAGGGCATTCAGCGAAGACTTTTACCGTTGGCGGCATACGTGTCTTTAGGCAGGTTGAGGGAGTGTTACACGAGATCCTACGCGGTGGTCTGACTCTCTTCCTTCACGTTAATAATCTTGCTGGCCCGACAATTCTGTTGGCATCGGGGAAGGAAGCCAGGCTTTGGCTGCTCGAACTGCGGGTGATTCGGGAAGCCTCCAAAACACCATGCAAGTACCTCTATGAGAGCAGCACGCACACAGACACGGTCAGAGCCGCCTCTTTCTCTGAAACGAAGTACGACCCTCTGCCCCGGCCTGGGAGGTGCTGGCTGAGCCTGGCTACCCAGAAGCACGGCACAAACAAAGAGAGAGGACGTCTCGGAGTCTCTGTGTGACACTGAAAGGACACGACACGCGTTTGTACGGCTGAGTCTGCTGCTTGAGCTGGCCGCTGCGCATGGGGCCAGGAGCCGAACCTGGTGGACTCCATGCCGCACCATGCCGTTGGGACTGAACCCTCAATAGCACGAGGTCACTGGCCTGCCCTCTTGACGGTTCAGGCTCGCGTTCATGAACGAAGGCAGTGCCAACCTCACTTCATCGAGGCATGGTCTGTTCTTGGGCCCAGAGGTTCGAGATTCTTCGACGTGTCTTCAAACCAGACCACAATTTCGACGCTTTGGGCCGTGTGCTGGAACATCCGCTCGGAAGTCATCTTCGACGACGCAGAGCTTCACTTACTGCCCAGCAACAGCCCCGAGCACTATCCAGAGCATGGCAGCAGTGCCCTGGCTGGCGACATCTACAGCGACATCTACGACACTTGGAGGCATCAGCAAGTCGTTCGCCCTGCTGCACTCCAGCACACCATGTAGTCGGCGAGACTTGGCTTTGCAGGAGTTGCTGTCCGGGTCCCACTCGCAGTCGCCAATGCACGACTTGCCACGCTTTTCGTGACACGACGCTGGCTCACAACTGGAGATGCTCCAATTCCAGGAGCAATCTCCATTGCACCACTGCGGGCCATTGCCTTGTGGACAGTCTTGGCAGGTGTCCGCAACGTGATTCCCACAAGACACGACTGTCTTGGGAGGCTGTCCCGTTGGCAAATGACCTGCCTCTTCCAATGAGACCGCTTCAGCCAGCTGCACTGGACAAGCTGCAATTTTGGCGACGGTAAGATTGTCGTACATTTCTAGGCCCCTTTTTATGTCGCCTCCAAGGCCCAGCTCCCATCTATATCCCTTGGAGCTAATGCCCCCGTCGATGTGACTTGTGTCCTCAGCAGCTGCGTGCGAGTGTGTCCATCTTGCCTGTGTAACCTGCATCCACTCATTCTGCGATCCATCACTTCCTCGTACCAAAGAAGGGCCAAACGATGCCCAACGCTCGTCCTGAGCGTCTGCTGGCGTCCACTGCTCAACGAACGAATACATGGCAGCGATCCCTTGAGGCATTTCCGAGCGGTGGCGCACCACAATTCGTGAAAGCATGCGCCAGCCAAACTCAGCTGCATAAAACCTACAGCTGAATTCGACGTGTTCTTTGCCGCGCTGAGATGCATGTATGAGGAATTTGTATTTCATGTCCGTTTGCCATGTGTTCCAATCCATGTAGGACTTGGCCCCGCTGCCTTCGCCACCAAAGCGGGTGCACACAGTGTCTGGGCCGCATGTCGTGAAAGCTGCGCGTTCCTCCTCTGGGCAAGCGCTTGGATCATGGTAGCTGCAATTCGGGGGATCCCAGATCGAAAAAATGACTCTCCCAGTAAACGGGTCTTCTGTGAGCTGTTGTATTCCGGCATAACCATATGCATGGCCGAGCACGCTGAAGTAGGAGCTGGTGCTGCTCTCTTGCACTTCGACTTCATTGTACCAAGCATCCAATGGCTCGAGGGATGGTGAGATGTACCTCAGATGCACTGAAGCATGTCGTCCGTGCAAGTCGCCGGAGCTTAGGGAGCTGTTCGCGGCGAGTCTGCGCTCAAGCCTCCAGGCACGCAGCGAGGCCAACAGTCGCTGATCCGGCTCTGACTCGGCTGCCCAGCTCTTTAAGAGCAAGCAGGCCGCAACCCTGAGCATCGAGAACCCAAGCCCTCCTACATGCGCGTAGTTCAGAACACACTTCTTGTCCGAAACCATGTTAAGCACAATCTCCTCGCAGTTGTCTGCTCGAGCTACAGTAGTGTAGGCAGAACTCGCCAGCGAAGTCAGACGACCTACTCCGGGCACCGGTCCCTGAGCCGAGTGGCGCAAAGCCGGTCTGCACATGAAGTACACCAAGCGACGCTCAACTCTCAACCGCGTCAGCCGTGACCTTTCACAAGCCAGGGCCGTGGCAGCTATGTACTCAGTTGGATCGCCCTGAAAGACCACGGAGGCCATTGATGCCACTTGCTCCTGACGTCGGAACAGGATATACTAGCACTGCGGATGTCGGATCATGTACGGAGGACTCCTCATGAGCAAGGTCCATGGTGTCCAGCACACTGGCAGTCTCGGAATTGACGAATACGACGGAGGCGCGGGAATTTGCAGGTGCGGAGAGACTCAACCTGAGCATAAAATCAGCCCTTTCAATCCGATCTGAAGTTGTCCTTTCCACGATGTCAGAAAGAGTCATACGAAGCTAGCCGGTGGAGTGCCAACCCTGGGGCCAGTGCGCGGGCATTGGCCATCCGATGCTGTAGCAGCCCACGGCACAAATCCCGGTGGACTGATGGTAGGCCATCCTGGAGCTAGGTGTGCAAAAAGGCCATGGCTAGAGTCGAAAGTGAGCAGGCCGAAAGCGATACAAGCAGCCGCACAACCAGTCACGAAGCACTGCGCCGGACAAGCACATGATCGGGAATGTCTGCATGTGTATACATTTTATACATGTGGACACTTATCAAAAAACTGTGTATGTATAGATGTTATATATACATATATATACATATATATATATATATACGTACCAAATTATATATGTAGCATCCACCCTGCTTTTCTACACAGGCGCAACATTGTGGAACCAGCAACTGGGTTTGAAACCTAGGCAGAGTTACAAACCCAAGCAAAAATCCCAAATCTTTCATTTTGGACCAACTAACATGAACTTCAGTGAATTCACATACACATGTCTGTGTGTCCATAAACAATCCCATCGATACCCAGTGTCGAAGTGTCATCCCCACAAAGCCCATGTTTTCGTTGCGTCACGCAGCATTAGTCTGGAGACTAATCCAGGAAGCTTCCATGCTCAATCGGGGGAACCAGTACACTGTCTCATAGATATGTTAGTCGAGCGGCCCAGCCTTGCACATATTGGCTATTTGCATCTATCCGCCTGACAATCCATACTTACAGAATGCTGACGGGCTGAAGCCGGTACAATGGTGGGGATTCTACATCAACAGCATCGAAAGCCTGCCAAATTCGCTTGGTGGCATTCGATACGCTATCACAGTTCATCGCTGTGTGATTGGTGTCCAAAGACTTTTATATGGCTAGCAAGCACATGTGCAGTCCCTAAAGCGACATAGATATTAGAACTACGAGTTTACCGTCGTTGTAGAACATGCTTCAGCCTCTGCTTTTAATCATTGGCATCCCTGCAAATTACACGTTTAGCAAGCGCTGTATCTGGTTTCTTTTGGTGGACAATATAAACTGTCGCTGTTTAGGACAATATAGGCCCCATGCTCTTAACAGTGTTTGCTTTGTCCCCAGTGATGAAACCTACCCAGCTTGTAGTATGCTGAATACTGCTTGTCCATACACTGAGCCTGAGTTCATATCAGCCTTCTATCCTGCAGTTTCTGTGGACCTTGCTATTTATTCCCTCTCTCCGCATTATGCTTGTGTTCCTGTTAACACCTGCCGGAGCCCTGTTTGAAGCACATATGCACACTGTGCTGTTGCAAACCCCATTTGCTAGAATGTTCGAACGGTTATGATCTATGTAGCCAGTTCAACAACTACTCTGTATCATGACCATTAAAAGCCGATATTCTGCTTGAAAAACACAGCGAGGGGAGGTTCATATCTCATGCCCTTTTAGTTGGAAGAGCGTTGCTATAAGTTTTCCTTTATAATGACTGAGGAAACCTCACAGTTTGTAGGTTGCGCGATTTCATCTCATCGGAATCCTGCATCATTGCTACAAGTTCGTGTTTTGCCTCCCAAGTTCGTCTATGTATAAAATAATGAAGCCCAACCAGGTTGTAAATTGCAAAATCTTGTTTCTCTTTAACTCAGTTTTATCTCGATATTCTGTGTACAGTGATGTTCGGGTTATCCAACTTTCACCCAGATAGATGCCATGTCATATTCGACACTGTGAGTCCTGGACGAATGACATGCAAGCGCCTGTTTGCTAAATATGTACATAGACGGCCTTTGCAAACCCGATATGCTGGAATGGACATACCGGTATAACCGATCCTGCAACATGACCCTTGCCGCCAAAGTCGCACGAATATGTGTACGGTCCCGGGAACATCCGAATTGGGCTTCTAAGAAACACCGCCTCATTCCTCAAAGAAGCCGAATAAATGCTGGGCCTCGCTTAGCTTCATCTCAGTTGCATTCCTCATAAAGCAACTAAACCCTCGAATATCTGAGTTTAGGTCTAGGTGTTGACGAAGTACGGGTGAAACCGTGTTCTTTCCATAAGGCTCATGTGCAATGGGACGCTGAAGCCCCGCCACGTTTATATACCCTAACCCGAGATTATAAAGATCTACACATGATATGACAGGTACGGCCCGAAACCACTAAGCTGATGGACAGTTTTTCACCGTTTCACTAGTCAGTTTGATCCTATGAGTGGTTAGGTGTCGAAATCATCCGTCATTTCACCTTGCACCAGGTCACCAGTCATGTCCATGCCGCCGCTACCGCCCCCGAAAATCATGTCGCCAGTTCACCATCTCACTAGCTGGTCTAGTCCTCTGAGATGAGGAGGACTAACCTCCAAGCCATTCTGCTAAATGCTCCTTTCCCCGAGACCGATTCACCAAGTCGCCGTTTGAACAACCAGTTAACCAGTTTTGCCCGATGGGGTGAGCAGGACTAGTCAAAGGCGACATGAACGGTGAAATTGCGAATTGGTGAGATGGCTTAACCATATGGGGGAAGTGAAATTGTGAATTTGCGAAATGGTGAATACGTGAAATGTTGAGGGGCCCAACCAAATGGGGTCAATGGACGGTGAGATGGTGAACTGGTTTGGTCCTTCTGCGGGACAGTGAGGAAGTCCAGCAGGAGATAACATACCCGTGTATATATATATATGTATATACATATATATATATATGTGTATGTATGTATGTATGTATGTATGTATGTATGTATGTATGTATGCGTGTAAATGTATATGTAGCATGTACACACACATGCATTCATGCATGCATCATCCGCACATATGTACGTATATACGGATATTGTTGTCTATCATCATGTGTTATTCATGCAAATTGCTTTTTAGATTTGTAACAAATGTGCACATATGTGCGTACACGCAAAGGTACACACATCTAGATATAATTGCATGAGAATTTCTCTCTCTCCTTCATTCACCAGGGTGAAGGACGAGGGATCCCGTGGTTGCTCCAGGTAAAAGACAGAGGCGCACCCCTGTCCACCCCCGTAGGGTACCTATACGTCCGGCGTCCTGCAGGCGAGTCGGCGTGAGACTTTGCGGCCACCACGCGGGATCCCTCTCTCCCTCTCTATGATGTGCGTGTATATAATATCTACCAAAGGTTGGCATCTAATTACAAATACTTACGGTGGACTTCAAAGGCACCACCTTTCGGGGCCGGTCGGGAATCGAAACCCTGCCGACCCTGCCTGTGCGGTGCCTGACGCAGGTGGAGTGTTTCCACCTGCATGCGCTGGCCACTTTGGAGCAGCGCAAACACCAATTTCCTTGGCTCTGTCTTAAACTCGTCATGATCGGACCACAGAAAGTCCAAGAAGCCTCAGAAGGAAGGCTACGGCACCGTGCTGGCAAGGCACTCTTGGCTGATGAAGGCCATGGCGTTCGAAACACCACCGAAACCGCGCTCGAAGAAGGCCTCCAATGACTGGCACTCATTCCAAGTTGCTCTGTAGTAGGCCTCTTACGCCAGCCCAGCGGCTGCATGGGAGATGTTTGGCAAGCAGATCTGCGAGTGGACGACGCGGAAAGGTTGCCGTGCCTAGCTCGAAACGCCAGCGCACCGCTAGCATCAGCAGTATCTGATTTCATCGCCAAGCCTGCAGAATCACACCATGCCCGCTGATGGCAAGCAGCATCTCCTTCGCCTCCTTGCTTGCGCTCGAGCCAATGACACTCTCCAAAAGTCAGGGACTTGCAAAGAAACAATTTCGAGCGGCTCATGCGGGGTTGTACAAAAACCGGTCCCTACCCCAAATACCTGGACCCAATCCGGTGTATCTTGTTTGTACTGCTTGGCATTAACACCTGACGACTGGCCTTGCTTTTGATAACTTGTGCTATCTCACAGTCCGTCTAAAGCTACGCTGCCAACGATGTCCATGGGTCTTGGGAACGGGGCTCCAAGATGTAGCGGCACGAGTATCGGATGTCCTGCAAACCTCCGCCAACCGCAGGTTAGCGCTGTGGCGGTGGTATCTTTATCGGTTCGGACGCAGCGACCCACATTTGGACAATGAAGTAGTAGTCTTAGTCGCAGTGGTAGTGGCAGTAAAAGTAGCAGTACTCGCAGTAGCAGCAGCAGCAGTAGAAGTAGCAGCAGCAGCAGAAGTAGTGGTAGTGGTAGTGGTA